TGATTAGAGGCTTGGCTTCTGGGGCCCAGGTCCAGCCCAGGTCTCATCAGCCCCTGATATCTGCAAACAGGATGGAGGAGGGGAAGTTCAGCCCATCAGCCATTGTACGAGGTTAGAAACCCCTTGTTTCCTCCATGAGGAGGATGAGGATCCATGAAGGCAGAGACCCCGACTGTCGAGTTTGTTGCTGTGTCTGCTTACCCTGACAGAATCTCTCAGACAGTAGGCTCTTAATAAAGATCTCAAGAAAAGAGTGAACTGGACAGATAAACAGGGTGACAGTGTCTGACTACTACATTATGTCTATACTGAATGTTCGTGTACTCCCCAAATTTCCATGTTGGAATCTCCACTGAGATGGTTTTAGACCATGGGACCCTCATAAATAGGATTAGTGCCCTAATAAGAGACGTGGAGATCCGAGCTCCTTCTTCCACGTGAAGACAGAGTAAGAAGTTGTCCATGAACCAGGAGAAGGACCCTGACCAAGGACACAACCATTCTGACATTCTAACCTCAGACTTCCAGCCTCCTGCACCATGGGGGAATACATGCCTATGGTTCCTAAGACTCCCAGTCTGTGGCAGTCTGACACAGCAGCCTGGACAGACCAAGACAGGCCCCAGGGGCATGGTTCCCAGTGCAGCCTGGCCTGGGGGAGCCGGGGTCAGGATCACCCACCCCTCGCTTGCTCTCCTGAGCCTGCCCACTGCCTCTTACCCTCTTCTCTGGGTCCAAGAAGATCTTGGTGTAAAAAAGCTGGTCACTGTCACTGTCTTGACCTTCCCACTCAGCCACCAGTTTCTTGAGGTTGGGAGCATAACCAATGAAGCCTGGGGGTTGGGTGGAGGGAACACCAAGAGACACTTAGCTTCCAGCTTCTAACCAGGGCCTCCTCCCACCCTCCCCTCTCCCCACCTCCCACTCCATTATCCACAAGCCCTGCCCCCTCTCAGAAGTCCTCCTGGATTGAAAGCAGTGGGGCTACAGGCTGAAAACAGGCCTGCTGGTGATTGTCACCAGCTGACAATCGCTTCCAGAGAGAAAGAGCAATGGTGCACACCAAACTGCACAGACTCGAGGTCAACACCAGGCTCCACAGAGGCGGTGAAGACATGGGCTGAACTAGGAGCCCCTGGAGATCTAAATCTGAAGCCTCTTTGATATAATTACTGAGAAAACTTGGCCCAAAGCAGGCCAGAGGCTAGGGCAAGGTCACACAGTGCTTTAGTGAGAAGCAAAGAGACGACAGAGCCCTGAGCCAAGGCCAGGCCATCAGGACTGTGCCAACCCTCTGGAAAAACATGGCTGCCTGGGGCAAATTCACCCTCTGCAGCTGGACAGAGGCCTGTGGATTTTATTCTCCATGCTATGGGAAGTCAGTGAGTAATGTATATGGATTTGCATCTATTTTTTTTAAGAATTATTTTAATTTTATTTATCATTATTATTATTATTTAATTTGGCCAGAGAGAGACAGAAAGAGAGAAAGAGGGAAAGTGAGAAAGCAAGCCACCAGGTCTGGGACTCAAACCATGGTCGGCCATGTGAGAGCCCAACGCTCTAACCATTATGCCACCTGCTGGCCCCAGATTTACATCTTTCTAAAAAAACCCTTTGGATGAAGAACAGACAGAAGAGGATGATAGTGGAAACTGGCAGGAGGCCACTCCAGATGACCAGGAGCCAAGAAAGGACGGTGGCGATAGTGGGTGTGGCCACAAGAGGACAGATACAGGAGAGCCATAGGAGGCGGAGTGATGTGACTGGCCCAGACAGGAGGTGGGGAAGCGAGGGAGGACTCAGGAGTGGCTGCTAGGACTTGCCCATGCAGCTGGGGTCTGTTTAATAAGACGAGGAAGACCGAAGCAGGAGCAGGTTTGGGGTTGAAAACTCAGGAGCTCCACTTAGGACGTTCAGCACTTGAGACCTCTGAGTCACCCATGTGGAATGTCGAGTAAGTGGGTGTCCTCACAAAGGTGGTGGAGGGACCCCTCCGCTAAGCCACATGCTCTACACCCAGGCCTCTCACCTCCCGAGCCCAGGAACCTCTTGCCATCGGAGACTACCGGATACTTGGCCTCCAGCCTGCGGTCTGGGTAGATGAGCTCCTCGGCTGAGAAGACCACCTGGCTCTTAGCCTGCCGGAACTTCTTCAGGAGTTCCCGGGGCCCCGATGCAAACACCACGTCATAGCTGTGGCCAGAGCAGGGAGATGTGTGCAAGGGGGCAGTGAGGGCACAGAATAGAGGGACTGGGGACCAAAGCTCTCCATAGTTTCCCTCCTCCCAAGCCATCCCTGCCACCATGTGGGAGATGGATCTGCTGCACTGTCTCCAATCCTGCCTGCCATGTGCCCTAGAAGACGGTCCCCATAACCAGTGCCCTTCTCACACTCCAAGCATAGTTCATCACACCTTCCAGGTTACCCTCCCATCTCTTCTCCAAGAGGATGAATGGGCTATTCCAGAGGGTCTGACCCTGGGGTTCCTGAATCCCCTAAACTCTAAGCCACCTTAGTGAGAATGACGGCTTTATCCTCGACATTCTGGGAGAGCCTCATTACAGACTATTGGCTAAGCCAGGAAGCCTCTGGCCTACATACCTGTCCGTGAAGAGAATAACCAGGTCCTCCTTGTTTGCATGCTTCTCCAGAGCTTTCTTCAGCAGCCGGACCTTCTGCCCACCACCTGCAGACATCCCCTTCTCCACATTCCAGTCCTCCCCAAGGCCAAGCGCCTGCAGAGCAAGGCACATTCACACTGGCTGGAGGTAAAAGATTTTCCCAGCCAAATTTCCATCCCCAAATAGACGAACATTTTTGCCTCTGTTTGTCCAGTACTTCCAACCATCCAAGGAAACCATTCCACATAGGTGTAAAATTTCCCTGAAGTGATCATGTGACCATACCTGGCCAATCAGAATGTCCCATCCCTCCTGTTCCTCCTATGGTCACAGGTTTGAGCATGTGACCCAAGCATGACCTATCAGAGTCTTCCTTGGGACTATTCCATTAAAATGAAGGAAATTAGGTCTTATTCTGCTGAAGTTGAGAAGCTGGGGTGTCTGAGCCTGTGGCTGGTGGTCACTATGCAGTGGGAGCACATTTGCACATAAAACAAACAGAATGAAAAGACAAGGTCTTCACTATGCTGCTTGAAGCCCTAGACCCAGCTGTGCCTGAAGCAATCCTCTGCTTCAGCCCACACTCATGCGAGCTAATACACATCTTTCTGGCTTAATGCCACTGGAGTGCAAGCTCTGTGCAGGCCATGATGTGCATCTTGTCCCTCACTCTAACCCCAGTGTCTACACTGTGCCTGACACAGGGACACCTTCAGAATACTCAGCTGAATGAAGCCCCTTGGACTGCACACAGAGAGCACCAGGCCCATACCACCGGTGATCTGGGCATTAGCTCGTATTTCTTTTCTCTTTCTTTTTAAAATTTCCTATAGGACTTTGGCACTCATCAGAGACAGAGAGAGAGAGAGAGAGACAGCAAGAAAGCACTTTCCCGAGGAGGATGGCCACACTGCAACCCCTTCTCCTCCATTCTTCTCTTGGGATTTTGGGCATGCACAGCTGGCATGATTTTTAAGCTGCTGGGTCTGGGACTTGAACCACAGTCAGCCATGTGGGATCCAGGACCTTAACCACCATGCTACCTGGATGGTCCAGCTCATGTTCCTTTAGGACAGTGTTTATAGCATATGGAAAGTCTCCAGACTGTATCCATCCCCAAATCACCCAGAGAAATTAGTGGGAATGTTGATCCTCAGGCCTGGCCCTCTACACTGGCCTCTCGGGCAAGTCTGCCCACTAACATCCGGGTACTCTGTAGCTCTCTCATTCACCTCCTAGACTGCTCATGCTTGTCCTCTGTTGCCTCTTTCTTTGCCTAACTAATTCATTTTCATCATTCAGGCTTCTGGTAGCCTCCTGCATGTCCAAGTCTATCTCAGGAGTCCTGGCAGAAGGGAGAGAGGGGTGCCAGTCCCTGGGTCCTCCCCCCAACTCTCTGCCTAGCCTAGAAAGTGTCTTACCTGGATCTTGTAGTTGAAGAACTGGGCTGAACGCTTGAAGCGGCGAAACCCTTCAGTTTCCTTAGTGGCCACTGTGAGGACTAAAAGGTTGTCTGTGGACAGAGAAGGACACGGTGACTGAGAGCTGGGAATGGTGGAGGTGACAGAGAGGAAAGGCTCACTGTTCCCAGTAACCTGTTAAATCTAGGCAGGAGGTGCCTTCATATTAACCCATTACAGGCAGGTGCTCAGGCAGGAAGGGGTATGCTAGAGCTCACTCGGCTAGTTAATGACAGAGCAGAAGGCCCAGCTGGTGGCGCAGCAATAAAACATGACATTCTGTGGGGCTGACCCATATGGGGAGGTTCCAGGTTTGTGTCCAGAGACCTCTCTGAGCACACCAAGCATGCACATGCCCGTGACCTGGGGCTGGCGGGGGCTGGAGGTGTATCCCAGAGTCAAGGCCCTATTGGGAAGCCAGCTCCATGGTGCAGCAATAATGTGCTGCTCAAGAGAAGCTAGATTCCAAATGGTGATCATGGTTCGAATCTCCAGTCCAGCAGGCCTGAAACACACTGGATACACGTGCAAGTGCCAAGATCCAACAGGCTGGAGCACTGCAGGGAGAGGATTATGGCATGACCATACCCTAAAGAGAGTGCTTGCCTCCTCCTCCCTCCCTGCCTCCCTTCCTCTCTCTCTCTCTCTCTCCTATGTGCAAGAACACCTCCATCATGAATAAAGAAAATAAAAGACCCTGTGGGCATGCTGTCTCTCTCACTCATGGAAGAAATAAATGAATAAACTTTTAAAAATCGCCAAAGCAGGGATAGAACGTGGGTCTCTCTATTCCCCACCTCCACCTCCCAGGGCTCCTCTCACCTGGAAACTGACCCACATTTCAAGAAGCATCCACAGGAGAGGTGCCTGCACCCTGCATCTGGGGGTCAAGTCCCATCAGGGGCTCAAGCCTCGCGTGGAGGTGGAGAGAAGACCCTGCTCTGAATGCCAACCACCAGGAGACTCTCTTAGGCCCACTTGGAAGTGAGTTCCAATAGTGACTGAGGCAGACATAACCAATGAGAGTCAGCCCAGAGCAAGCCCACCTGGAACCCTTCCATTGGCCCATCTCTGACCTTGGGGCAGAGCAGTTATTCGTATCTTTTTTTTTTTTTTTTTAAGAGGGATTTTTGCTATAGGGAGTGTGTGCTCGCCAGAGAAACAGAGAGAGACAGAGAGAAAGAAAGTGAGAAGTCACCACCCTAGGGGGGATAGCCACATTGCAATCCCTCCTCCTCCATTCTCCTCTCGGGATCTTGAGCACACATGCAGATGCGCCAGGCATGAGTTTCAAGCCACTAGGTCTGGGACTTGAACCACGGCTGACTACATGGGAGTCCAGCAACATAATCATTATGCCATCTGCTGGTCCAGGATCTTTTTTAAAAAATTGTACTAGCCATGGAGCTATGGGGAAGAAAAAGTACCCCTCAGTGGGGCACAGATATGCCATAATCTCTTCCCCACCATTTTTCCATCCTGTTGGGATTTTGTTTTTCAAGTCACTAGAGCTGGGATTCGAACTGCAGTTGGCTACATGGGATCCAGTTCCCTTAACCACTAGGCTATAGGGTCAGCCCTATTACTATCTTTTCTTTTTTAATTTTGGCAGGATGTGTGTGTGTTTGCTGGAGAGAGAGAGACAGAGAAGAGAGTAGAGAGAGAAGAAAAATGAGGAAGCATGCCCCATAGGGGATGGCCACACCATAATCTCTTCTTCTCCATTTCTCCTTCCTGTCAGGATTTTAGGCACATGCGCACATATGCCCAATGTGTTTCTCAAACCACCTAGTCCGGGACTTGAACTATGCAGTTGGCCACATAGGATTTAACCTCCTTAACTATCACACCACTAGCTGGTCCTACTACCTTTTATACACGGGATCGCTTCCAGCCTCTGCAATGTGGCTTAACCTCTGCAACAGAACCTACTGGAAACTCTGTAGACAGCTTCTCTGGTTTGGGAGCCCTGGGGCAGCCCCTCCTGCACACACTCTGAAGCTGTGTTCTCTGAGAAGTGAGGAGTCTGGAATCCCAGCGCTGCTCTTTCCTACTGCGGGACCTCAGGCGGGTCCCTGTCCTCTGGAAATCTAAAGTAGGGAGAACAGCCAGGAATGCTGGACTAATGAAATGAGATTAGGCGGATAAAGTTCTTACTGGAGCCTGGCAAACACTAACTGCTTTCCCTGGTGCTGATCAGTGAGAAGAGAATCTTGCCCTCTCTGATCCAGCTTGGTGAAGTACCCCTTCCTCCCCTCCCTTCCAGGGGAGCCCTCCTCCAGCTGGGGTCTTGTCTCGGTCAGCAACTCCTCTCCTGCTATGGTTCCCTTTGTGTCCCAGGCCCAGTGATAATGATACCCCGTCCTCCATGCCACTTCTATGAAGCCCTCTCAGATTACTCTTGTCTTCTCTGACCTCTCAGTCTTCTAGGCAGGACATAGTTTGTAGCACTCATCATTGTTCTCCTGTGTGAGTCTTAATTCCCAGAGGGCCCAGGACTCACACTTTTCTTTCTTTATTTTAATATTTTCCCTAATTTTGCCAGAGAGGTGAGGGGGTGGAGAGAGAGAGCACTCCCATAGTGGATGGTCACGCTGCCATCTTTTCATTTCTCCTTTTACGCGCACCCAGCGTGTTTCTCAAGTCTCCACATCCGGGACTTAAACCACGGTGGCAGCCATGTGGGATCCAGCTGCCTTAACTGCCATGCCACGGACTGGCCCAGGATTCACACTTTTCTGGGCAAGCAGAGCCACAAAGTGGCCAGATCAATGGCAGGCAGGTAAGGTGCTCCCCACCTCCACTCCGGGAAGTCAGGGGGAGCCTGGGCTGAGAGAACAAAGGGGCCCAGCTGGCTGAAGGAGAAGCGGCCTGCACACCGCCACTGCCCTGTACACTGCCACTGCCACCCCAGAGGAGGGGGCTGGCACCACGTGCCCAGCAGGGACGGGCAGGAATCAGCTGGGAGCACCCAGGGACTGGGGGCAAGTGTGTGGAGGGAAAAGGCCTCACCACCTGACCCCGGAAAGAAGAAAGCAGGGTGCTGCTTGCACTTGGGGAACGGCTCCCTCCAACTCCTGCCAGGATAGGAAAGCCAGAGCCACCAGCTCTGAGGCCCTCTTGTCAACAGGGGGCTCCTGGGGGCTGGAAGAGTATCACATTTCATGGGTGGAAAAAGCCTGTGTGTGAGAGAGAGACTGATTCAGGATTCTGTTTTGAATTGCCAGGGCAGGCTCCAGAAGTCAGGCAGCAGGGGAGGGGTCAGAGGAACGGGTGGTGAGTCTCAGGCTCCTTTCTCAGCGCTCCTGCTTCTAAATACCAGTACCAATCAGATCGCAGCTACCCTTTCCCGGGCACTTAGCCTTTCACAAGTACCAACCCTTCCCCTTACAGTAGGAAGCCGGGCCAGCGGCAATGAGTAAGTCGCCCCAGGGAGCCGGGAAGGAGCAGCACAGGACTTGGACACAAGAAGCCGGACTCCGAGCTCCCTCCCTTGACCTAAGTGCATGCACTGCCCAGGCCTGGGACAGTGGCAGGCTGTCTGCTGGAAGGGCCCTGTCTCTCCATTTGTCTGAGGAAACTATTGAGCTGGGCCAGAGGGGAGGGCCCCAGGCCACAGCAGACCCTCCTCACATACCCACCTTCCCTGCCCCTGCCCCCAGCCTGCCTCTGCTCTGCTTTCTAGCTGCTGCCGGTGCCCGCACTGGGGCCTTCACAAATCCTGGTTCCCCGTCCACACAGCCCCTGCCTTCCTAGCCAAGGATCCCATCAGTCCCAGTCAGCAGCTCCTGAACCTGTCAGCATCACAAGAGTAAAACCCAGACTCCAGCGCCCCAGCGCCAGAGGTCTGAGGTGGGCTCAGGAGTCTGGGTATACCCTGCATTCCCAGGTGACTGCTGACGTCAACCACTTTGGGAGCTGCTGGCTCAACCCGTGCACTGATCCTCTGGGTCTGAGCTGCGAGGCGTGAACCTAGAAGGCGGCTCACAGCCCGAGAAGGCAAGGCGGGCCCTCTCTCCCAAGGGACCATCACCTCTCAACACCCCCACAAACACTGCAGCAGTAAATACAGCCTACACCCCACCCCCTAACCTGTAACACTCATTCCTTCCCCTGAAGAAGCCCCCAGACCACCTCCTCCAGGAAGCCCTCTTTTATCTCATCCTCTTTGCTGGTCCTCCTTTAAGTCTTGGTTTACCTGGTGGTAGACACATTGGTACAAACCCACTCCTTCTCCCTTTGCCAGGCCAGGGCCCTATTTTTACTTCTCGGTCCCCTTCTCCCTCGCCATGACTAGGATTGAGTGCTGTGTGCTGTCTGGCCTTGGTTAAAAGCTACCACAGGTTGAACCCTGTGAGGTGCCAGGGCTGTGTGAAGTATGTTACGTTTATCGGTGTTTCAGCAGTCAAAGCCCTACGAGGCAGGCAATTTTTTTTTTTTTTTTTTTTTTTTTAGAAAGAGATTTTTACTATAGGGTATGTGCACTCACTGGAGGGACAAAGAGAGACAGAGACAGAAAGAAAGAAATCACCCCCCTAAGGGAAGTGGCCACATCACAATCACTTCTCCATTCTCCTTGGGATTTCGGGCACACACACATACATGCCCAGCATGAGTTTTAAGCTGCCAGGTCTGAGACTCGAACCATGGTCGACTATGTGGGAGTCCAGCAACATAACCATTTTACTATCTCCTGGTCCCAAATGCCCACACTCTTAACCTCACTATTTCCCTGGCCAAGAGCCCAGCAGTCCTGAATCCAGAGACACCAAGCTGCAGACTGAATCTCACATGTCTAGGCCTTCTTTTTTTTTTGGAGAGGTTTTTGCCATAGAGCGCGTGCGCTCACCAGACAGACAGAGAGAGACAGAGAGATAGAAAGCAAGAAATCACCCCCCAGGGGGGATGGCCATGCACAGACCCCTTCTCCTCCGTTATCCTCTCGGGATCTTGGGCACACACGCACATGCACCCAGTGTGAGTTTTAAGCCATCAGGTCTGGGACGCGAACCGTGGTCAATTACATGGGAGTCCAGCGACATAGCCATTACGCTAACTGCTGGTCCCACATGTCTAGACCTTCTTGCAGGCCTCTCCGGTCTGGACACTTCATCCCAGTTCACTGGCCAGCCAGGACTCTGGGCAGCCTGCAGGTGGCCACGTGGAGGATCTGGTTTCCCAGCACCAAGGCCCCACCCACCTCTTTCTGTCTGGTCCAGCTGGCCTGCTTTGGACTAAGGCCAGGCATGCAGGGTACTTGGCCCTCCCCACCTGCTGCCCAAAGTCCGCCAACGATCCCCCGACAGACAGACCCATGACCCAGTCAGCGGAGATAAACAAGAAACAGCGAGTAGAGCAGTGAACAGGTTGCTGGGCAAGGAGCTTTGCCACTCTGTGCCTCAGTTTCTTCAGCTGTAACATGGGAATAAAAACAATACTACTAGAACCTTCCTCCAGAGACATCCATGAGGATTCATGAGCGAATCCCCACCAAGCGCTCAGCATGGCTCTTGCCGTGGTGGCTGCACGAGTTCCTGTCACAGGGGGCCTCCCATAAGAGGGGGAGCTGGGCATAGGCAGGGGCTGCCCTGGGGGTCAGAGACGGAGAGGAGCCAGCTAGCTGCTGGGGGCAGGAACGATGTGAGAGGCTGAGCAAGGAGGCTCCTGGAAGAACAGGACCCGTGGGGTCCCAGGGAGAAGGCTGAGACCCAACCCCGATCTGGCTATGCTCCGGCTGGTGTGCCCTCCCCTCAAGCAGTTCCAAGTGAGGGGACAGACAAGTTCCAAGCCACCCACCGTACTTCTCAAGACCACACAACAAATCCCTTTCTCCACCCCAGGCCTCTCTGTGCCCCAGAGGGACACTGGGCACATTCCTGTGCCTGCATCAATTGAATACTCAACAGCTGCCCACCTCAAACCCCTGCCAGGGTGCTGGCCTCTCTGCGGGCTGACACTGGTCAGTGGGAAGCTCAGGCAAGGCCTGTGTCTCCCTGTCCACTAGCTGAAGGTCCCACGGCAGCCAGGCCTAGGGGAGCTGGGCAGGCTCCCGTACACAGCATCTCCAGTGGCAACCTGAGACCAGGCGTTTAACCCTTTAGGGTGTCAGTCTTTCCATCAACGAAATGGGGCGAGTGATCCCTTACTTATCGAAAAGGTAAATGGAACAAAGGAAGCAGGGTGCCTCAACTTGACAGTGGCCTGACACTAGCCCCATGCCTGGGATCTGCCGTCTCACGTGCATGCGTGAGCACCTGCTACCTGCTATGTGCTTCCCATAACTTATCCTGTCCCCTGCCAAGAGCAGCAGCCTCTGCTAGGGCTGTCTCATATCAACGCTGTCCTCCTGCTGTCACCCCCTGGGGTCAGGGTGCCTGAAGCCCTGTCATCAGTTTGGTCTTTCTCTGACCTCTCTGGGCTTCACTGTGGGCAGCTGTAGTTCCCCTCCTGAAATGGTCAGGGTGCAGGGAGCTCACATCAGCAGAAGCAGGGGGAAGGGAGGCCCAGGGGTGGAGGAGGGCTACTGTAGGGCTCCTGGCCAGCAAGTAGATGCAGGCGCAGGCCCTTCGCACACACCACCAGCTCTGCATCTCCCTCACTGAATGTTTTTTTTTTTTCTTTTTTAGAGGTTTTTGCCTTAGGGTGTGTGCACTCGTGAGAGAGGGACAGAGACAGAGACAATGAGATCCCATTCTCCTCCTGGGATCTTGGGCACACATGAACACACAACTGAGTTTCAAGCCATTGGGCCTGGGACTCGAACCGCAGTCAGCCATGTGGGAGTTCAGCACCGTAACCGCTACCCCATCTTCTCACCCTCCTCACTGGATGTTTTAACCTAGCCTACTGCCCTGCTGGGATACTCTAGGAAAGCTGGCAGCCCTCGGGCCAGGAGAGAAAATACCTCTTGCCAAGGGCCTTTAATGGGCCAGGCACTGAGCTGAACTCTCACCAGCTGGCCTCATCCCATGGAATCCCTGTAAGAGCCCTAGGAGTGAGGCATGATGGCCCCCATGGGGCAGGCTAGCACACCAAGACTTAGGGAGGTGAAGCACCAGGGACCCAATGACGGTGAGACGGATGGCCTTGGGCACAACCTGGCACAGCAGAGGTCCTCCAGGAAGTGTGGTTCCCATCCCTTCCCCTGGCCCCAGGATCATGAGCTCAGGCTCCTTCTGCCATCCCACCCGTCTCCCAGGTTCCCCAGGAGGGAGGGCCGAGGGCCATGGGGTGCTGTGGAAGATGTGAACAGCTCGGTTTACTTCACTGGGACTGCCGTCTGTGCCCTCCTCGGGGCTCTCAGGTGCCCACGCCAGGGAGCACTTGGTCCATCCAATCCACCTTAGGGAAGTAGAAGGTGTCAGCAGACCTCAGACCAACCCTGCCACAGCTGGACAACCCCTGGCAGCCGCTTCACCTTTCTGGGCCTGCTTCCTCACATGCCAACTGCAGAGAGGAAGATCAGCTTGGCAGGGGCTGAGCAGACCACAGAAGACACAGACGGAGGGACAAACGGCCCCACGAACACAAGCCACATCTTCCACCTCCAACTCCATCCCCACCCCAGGGCCCTTCACTCCATGTGAGGCCTAGCCAATCTGAGCTGGACTCTGGAGCCAGGCATACCTGGGTTTGAATCCGGGTGCTAAGGCCCTCAAGGAATGTGCTGGGCAAGTGACTCGATGCTGGAACCTCAGTTTGCCCAGCCGGAAAATGGGAATGGAAGATGGTGGGCCTGGCGGCCACAGCACTCCATACATAGCGGTCACTGTCCGTTACTATTACGAGTTCCATTATTATTTGACTCTCTTTGTGCTGAAGCGACTTCGGCTGTCACCCTCCCCTCCCCACTGCATAAATGTGGGAACCGCAGCCTCGAGCGGGAATTGATTTAACCAAGTCACCAGACAAGACAAATGGACAAGAAGCCGGAACCCAGACCCCCTCCTCGGCTCAGGCCTCCCCTACAGACGGTCCTTATCGCGGAGGCGGCAGCCCAGCCTCGGGAACAGTCCTCCCGTCCGGATCCCGCCCCAGGCCGCCGCGTTCTCACCCTCCGGTTTGGCGTCGCCCTTTGCTTCGGCCAGGAGCAGCCAGCTCAGCGGGATCAGGAGCAGTAGGGGCCGCATGGCCAGGGTCTGGGGACGGTGGACCGGTCAGCCGGCGCTGGAAAAGCTGGAAACTTCGCGACGGGGCTGGCGGAATCGCTGCCACGCACTGGGCCCGCCCCGGGGGCGGCGCCGCGCCGCCCCTCTCCGCCCCCCCCGCCCCGGGCCCCGGGG